AAAAAAAAAAATGGCGGACTTTTGAATTTTTCACCTTATTTTTTCACTTTAAATTGTTTAAAAAAATATATTAAATGTCAATGAATATTTCTATCCGTAGTATATACCATAGGTAGACATGTCTAGAACAACCCCTTAAAATTTCAGCCCAATCCGTTCAGTAGTTTTTTCACAATCTTGTCCCCCATGTCAAAAAAAGTGGTTTCGAGAAAAACGCATTTAAAGTTTTTGTTGCGAGAAAGTGGGTAAAAATTGCAAAATTCGACCATCAGTCGGCAATTCCTGCTCCATACATGATGCAACCGTTACAAAGGTAAACTGCCATACAACTGAAACTGAAATGCTAAGAAACCAAATATTCATAAACGTCAGGAGGGGAAGAGAGCGCCAGCTGTTCGACCGCGCCGCAGGTATACGCCGAGCGCTCGGAGGACACCTCGCATTGTGTTGCTATTTTCGACCTTTTTTCGATCGGTTCCACGAAATTTACGTTCACTACCATATTTCTACATGTATTTGGTGCACGAAAATGATGTATTTGGAAAATTGATTTTTTTGAAAATTTCATACCCAACTACCCCCTTAATCTACCATATTCTATCGATTTAGCTTTTCTTCCTTTTTTTTTTCAACGTCGATGTTTCTAAATTCAATCGCGCAAAATTAAAACGTTTATATTATTTATATACATATTATACATGGAAAGAAAAGTTTTTTTGTTGAAGTATGTAAAAAATTTAGTTAAATACACAATTTTGAAAATAATTTTGTTTGATCATAAAAATAATTATGTACGCTCAATATGATCACTAAAAAAATGTTAAAATTTTTTTTGGAATAACATTGCTTCAGCGTGCTATAACTATTTTCATATAAACCAATAAAATTATTTTTAGATCTGTATACAACTGACAATGAGTTTTGTATAGTTTTGTAACATAATCCAGCAAAACTATTTTTTCTGTATATAGCTGTGAAAATAATTCTGTTAGACCATTAAAATAATCATGAAAAACATTCAAGGTAATTATTAAAATCATTTTTTTTTTTTCGAACATTACTTATTATTTCAATAAACAAGAAGAAGGAAGCCAATAACGGTCAAAGTTATTATTTCAGCCTGCTATAACTACAATATTTGGATAGATCAGCAAAATTATTTTCAGACCTGTTTGTTTAGTTAAATTTTGAAATACTCTATCAAAAATATTATTTCCATATAGCACTGAAGTGGAGGGGAGACACAATGTGATAGATGAGTTTCATTAAATTATTTAAAAACTGTCGCATGAAATGCGATCGAAAAGAGCACGCGCTCGGTCTAATAAAGTTGCATCGAAGCCAGTTGTTGCGAGAAACGTGATCCACCGTTTCATGCACCGTGATTCATCGCGATGCAGGAGCAACAATATCTTGGCAAACGCGAGCAAATGCCATTCGCTCGTTGCAGCTGCTAGATGAGAGACTTGCGAAACACACAGTTCGCGGGTTTCGCCGAATTTGTTTATTATTAAATCCCGTTACCGTCGTGCCCGATACGTCGGTTGGAATTTTTAATTTGGCGCTGCCGCTTTACGGCTGGGTGTGCGTGGGGGGTATCCTTTTTTTTTTTTTTTAAATTTCATTTCATAAAGACCCACGTATTTTTCATGAATAACAACCCGCCGTTGTATCCACGACCAGTATCGACTGGAATGTTAAACAAGTCGGTGGATGCGCGCACTTCCGCTGCTGGCCATTTGATAATGTCGCGCACCTAAATTCTGACACAAAAGGACGAAGTTCCAGGCGGTTACCGGGCGAGATACTTCGGCTACCAAGCATTCCCCGAGGGATCGTCCAGTCGCGTTTAATCACGAACACATATTTGATTCCAGCCCGGTCGAAATTTATCGTGAAAATTTTTGGCAACGTACGGACCGCGTTATCACACGAGTTTGCGCTGTGTGTGAGAGTACGATTAATCTCAAACTTATTTGAATAAGTATGTTTTTTGAGCACATACGCTATTATCATGCTTTTATTGGTTACGTGATGTTTATAGCGTTTCTGATCTTCACAGCAATTTTCCTTTGAATTTTATTTCTCTGAGAAAGAAATTAATTTTCTTCTATTTAAAAAAAATATGAAGATGAAAAAGAATGAGTACGAAACTGTTTAAATATCGGTCAAAATGTTAATATCGGGTTTTACTTGATATTGTAATATTCTAAAGTGTATGATTTAGGCGTTTAATTAAACAGGATAATATGAAAATTTTAATATGAACGATTGCGCACAATGGAATGTAGAGGCCGGAAAATTTCGCGTTTGTATTATATTTCAATACTATTTCAACTATCCGAGACAGTAATAATTTTATAATAAGAGGTATAGATGTGGCTCTCGTATATTTAAGCTCATCTGTTCTCTTTTAGTTTTGAAAAAGCATTAAAAAATATGTAAATAACATTGCATCGTCAAAGCGGCAAATCTAATGAATCTAATAAAGAAACTTCCTATGCCCGTGTTCGTCGTCGAATACGAGTCGACGCATAAAAGAATGCTGTAAATATAAACTAACGATCTTCAGGAGAGATAATTCTTATTTAAAAGTTTCTGTAAGCCGCATAACGACAGCCGTAAAAAGAAATCCAAAAGTTTATGCATTTATGGATCTTTTGTATGCAGTCCTTGAGAATATACAAGAAATGTTTAAAATAATTATAGACATATAAATCAGAATGATAAATATATGAAGGAAAAAAAATTGTGCTTGTAAATTGTTTCTGTGTTAAATTTATAACACAAATTTTTCAACTGCGCAATATTATCTCTCCTATTAGAGGAGACTCTTAGAAAATGAGACATATATTTTGGTAAATATATTCTTAGAGAGTAAGGATCCTTTTAGTAACTTTCCCTCCCTCTCTTAACTCGTTAAAATATTCTCTATTATTCCACCCTTCGTCGTAAAATCGCTTGTTCGCACTTGACGCACTCTTCAATCGATTTCGTCGAACTTTTCTCTGAGCGATGACGGCACGTGCGAGACGCGGAGGATTCAAGATAGCAGAACTCGTGCAGCTCGCCGGCTCGCGAGTGTACTCACTGTCGAACAAGATCAGCCTCCTGGCTACCACCCTGGCGTCGAGGGTGTTCGGCCTGTTTGGCTTTTGTTGGTCCCCGGCATTCGGGACCGGGCCCGGGACCGGTACCGCCAAGCCGCTCGTGGCCGTGCCCAAATTGGCGGCCTGCGGCTCGCCGCCGCCGCACGGCGACATCGCGCCATTCACATTCTGTTCGGTCTTTTCCTTCTTCGGCTCTGCAACAGAAAAAAAAGTTCGACACCGGTCAGAACCGTGGCGGGATATGTACGGTCGTGTCAGAGTGGCAGATTAGAGGCTGAACTGGCCGGCTCGCCGATTCTTTTCACCCTATCGCAAAGTTTCGTAAGTCGGACGACGCGCTCGCTCAGAGAAAAGTCCCCCATCGAAACGTCCGCAGATAAAATTACGGATATCACTCATTGTCCGATTTACTTTACCGCGAAACACTGCGGTTACTTTAGCGGTTGTTTTCGATCGATGTATATTCGCCGAGATGACTTTATCGGCTTATTCTCGCTGCGCACCGCGGTTGCATAGATTGGACAACGTAATCCGTTAAGTCACTTCTTGATCGAAGGCGACGTTGCGGATATATTTAAACCGCTTGCAAAAGCGAGCATACTTATTTACGTAACGTTTAGTAATATTCAAATAATATTATTTTATTACGTTTTACAATTATTAGAAATTTAACGAGACAAATCTAGTTAAAAACGTTCGATAAACGTTTTACTTTAAATACATTTCTAATTACAAGTCTTTATTAATATTAATAATGAATTATAAGTCTATTAATAGTCAATATTCTTCATACAGTGAAAAAAAATTCAGAATTTATGATTATAATTGTTCGATAAAATATGTACGGCTAGGACCTAAATTTTTACAGTTATTAATAATAATAATTTCCAGCTTCAGTTTAGAACTGTTTCAAGACTACCAAATAATCGACGTGCAGGTTGCTTGAATTAGCAATTGTAAAATTCATATAAAAATATTATTAGGCATCAAGACTGCTTTGACTGAATATGATCTTCGCCTATTTCTATTTTCTTTATATTCTTTTGTGTGAATAAAAGAAATATATAGCTAGCATCGAAAATGACTATAAATTATAGTTAAATTATGATCGGTAATTGCAAATCGTTTTTCTTTCAGTACAGTATTTGTATGACTGTATAGGGAAAAAAAAAACTGGGTCACAGCAAAAACTTGCCGTTTTTCAATCGGGTACAGAGGCTCTCAAATTACGTTTGTCTTCGTCCGTGGTAACGGACACTCCGCTGACTGGTTGTCGACGAAAATCTGTCCTGCGTTGCGAGAGTTGGACATACGCGCCGCGATGGCATCGCGACATTTGCTACACGAAAAAGGATATGTCGATTTCTAGGACGAACACATCGTATACGAAGTGGAACAAAAAGCTTCTCTCGCGTGCGCACGTTTATTGACTGCTGACCGTCGGTTTCGGAAATCCGTTGTGGATTTAGAGAAGTTGACACATTCTCGATTCGGCGACGATTAAACTCAGTGCGAAGTATTTAAAAATTCTCTTTGTATATCGGCGTTACGTACGTATCAATAAATCAATCGGCAATTTTAGAGAACTATAGACAGAATATTTTCTGACATTAATGGTAATAATACTTATGCATTTTTCCCTGTGGCTAAATTCATCGTATTCTCTTATTATTCGCAGTCTCTTATTACATCGTGAATTATAAATTAAGGATCTACATGTCGCATCTAAAAACAATATTAAACATATAAAAATTTCATAGATTGTAATTATATTATTACGCCTGAATGTCTATGTAAAATTTGAGCACACTTCTCTTATCGACCATTGTAAAGTTAACCCCCAACATTTCAAACAACAAGCATTTTTCCCTGTGGCTAAATTCATCGTATTCTCTTATTATTCGCAGTCTCTTATTACATCGTGAATTATAAATTAAGGATCTACATGTCGCATCTAAAAACAATATTAAACATATAAAAATTTCATAGATTGTAATTATATTATTACGCCTGAATGTCTATGTAAAATTTGAGCACACTTCTCTTATCGACCATTGTAAAGTTAACCCCCCCAACATTTCAAACGTTTACAGCGCGTTCAATTGGTCATCGTTTGCACATGTATATGCATATTTCAAATTTTTGTTTACATAGCTGCAGTAAAAAAAATTCAAAAACAATTATAGGAGGCTAAATATCGCCCTAGCCCCCAACTTGGACCAAATTAGATTGAAAAGGTTATCGATAGACTTTCGGTGGCACATTTCGAAGCAAATTGAGTTTTCGTTTGCACACCTTTAGTTAAAAAGTTAATTACAATTAAAGTTTCAAGAACGGTCGATTTTGATAGGAAGTTCAAATCGCAGTTATACTATTACATGTACATATTTAAAATGGTATGAATCAATAGATTTCCGTTTGTGTATGTTTCAAAACAAGTTGATTTTTTGTTTGCACACCTATAGTTGAAAAGTTATTAACAAATAAATGTTAGAGGATTAACTTGACATCCCATAAAATACGTTTTCGATTTGAATTCAAAACAAACGAGTTTGAAATATTAATTTCAGCAATTATGAAAAATCACGAGTAAAAATGTTAATAAGAAGATGAAATAGTTAAAGCTTTTTTTTTAAATTAAATTTAAAATCAGTACTAAACAAAACTTATCAAGAATTTCCAATATAAAATAAACTACTAGTGAATCAATCTATTGTACTTAATCCTTTCGTAATCTTCTTTCCATAAAAATGTATCTTTACTTTATGTAGACACAGCTTAGTTTTCACGAGAAAATGAAGTGTTTAAATTGTAGTTACGCATAAAATTTTGACGAACATCACCAGGATAAAACATCGAAATACATGAAGTATAAATATCGCTATCCGTTTTTTTTACCAACGTAATTTAATTTTTTATTTTTTCTTAATTTAAGAATTAGAAAAAAAAATGAAGAGTAGTTGAGCTGAGATTAAAATTAATCCACACTGATAGAAACGGGCATAAATGCAGATATATCAAATTAATGAAATAAACTCGCAAATTGAGAGCGTCATACTCAAAGGATGAGGACAGCGACAATGTTGTTTGATGACGAAAATGAAATGCTATTCCAAATATATCGCCAAATATAACGAGTGGAACGAGATGGAGGCTGTGTGTGTGAGAGAGAGAGAGGCGCAAAAATATCATCAATTCACATGAATTGCGAGTTACGAATGCGTGTACGCTAATGTTGAATTTAAGATCAAACGTATTAATATCTACAATTGAAACTAACTATATTTCCCGTTCGTTCTCGTTTCAAACAAAATTAAAACGGAACGTTCAATATTACCTATAAAAATATATGCGCAATTCCTCTTCATGTTTAGTGGCTCTTTTACACCACAAAGGCTAAATAACTGAATGTCAGAGAGCGAAGATGAGTTAGCATGGGTCGATAAATATTAAGGTGTCGTGAATACTGTATGAAAGGAGGAAGAGGACAGAAGAATAGAGATGAAAAATTGTCTTGTTTCAATTCCCAAAAGAATACGCCTCGTGCCCTTCGCTCGATCCGACTTTTCCAGGTTTCATCTTGTTTTGGAAGCTCCATATCGACATCACGTTTTGGGAGAAGGGATAAAAAGACGCCAAAAACACGCCGCTCTTCGAAAAATAATTGTTGTACAACTACTTAGAGATGAGAAATTGCTTGGTCTCAATTCCCGAAAGAATACGCCTCCTACCGGTTTGTTCGCGCGATAAAGATTGATTCGATTTTGTCGAGTTTTACACGTCCCGGAAGCTCCGCTGACGTCGTGTTTTGGGAGGTCGCCAAAGGAATCTCGAAGGTACGAGCAGGCATCGGTTCTTTAACAACACGCTACTAATAACGTCAATAATATAAAGCATACTACAGAAGCGAGCAATTCTGCTGTTCGCCTATCATATGGAGCTTTTAACATTTGATCCTAGTTTTATTTAATCTGAAAATAAGAGGATAATTCTTGTAAAATAATATCCCTTAAATGTCGAAAGAAATTCGATGTTTTAGATTTATTAATTATGTATTATAGTATATACTTCTCTGATCTTATACTGCGCATTCAGAGAAAAAATATAATGATAGCAACTGTAGGCAACTATATAAGTACGAACCATTTTATAGTTATTACAGTATTATAAGATAGTTAATTCAACTATGTGTACATTGATTCTACACATAATATAAAACTTGTACAGTTATCACTTATATAATTAATATTACTCTTTTTCTCTGTAATACGTAATATAAGATAAAGTATATGCTCACATAATTGTCCAAGAGTTTAACACCAGTTTTCAACTAACATCTTTAAACCTATATTTGTGGACTTTTCGAAAGCTTTCAGGGTGAAGAAATCATTAACTTGGATCACGTTCCGTATAGGCTTTCGAAAATAACGCGACAGAATTACTAGATTTTCATTCGAACAGCGAATGCAATGTCGCAGCTCACGTTTGCGCAATTTAGATCGCGGGGCTGATTAAGCGGCATAACGAATTCCACGCAATTAGTCCGCGAGCGTGCCTACTCACTTACTTCTCCAGTTGAGATGGACGATACGACCCATGAGTGATTAATGTGCGACTCGCGGTTTCAAGTTCGCACAATTTCGGGGACGCGCCGTCTAATCACCACAACGAATTTCTCAATTAGTCGGTCGAGTGTCCCGTAACGTCATATGTCGCTGCCACGTTACTTGAGATCACGCATAACGCGACACATCGACGTGACTAATGTTCGCGACTGGACGCGATTCAATTAAGCTCAAGTTCGAGCGTCTTCCAATGTCTTCTTCCTCTCGACACGCCGCGAGGCTCAACGAAAGACTGATCGCGAGCTAGAAGCTGCTGCGCCCACGCACGCGGACGAAAATAGATGAATGACTTCGCCGCGGAACAGAGTGGCACGCAACGCCACGACCTTCCATCTACTGTCACCGCATGCTATTCTGCGCGCTTGATATACAACCACGTATATTTTCGAACGATCGACATTCCGCGCGCGTTACTGATCGTCTCTGAATTGAAATTCCCGCAATCGAAGTTCCACGAGTTTTCCACGAGTTTTTAGCTCGCAGTTGCGAGAAAATACTCTAGCGAACGTTGAGTAAACTCTCCTTCTTTTTCATCCTCAAGTGGATATTCAATTCAACATAAAAAGTCC